CCCCCCCCAACTAAGTCCCTTACCTTGTTGAAGGCGGCCGTTGGCGGGGTGCGCGATGGCGGACGTTAGCAGGTGCTGGCGGTGCGTCGAAGAAGCGCGTTGAAGTTGCGCGTCGAAGGCTGGCGGACACACAGTGCTGCAAGGCAGGGAAGGGTGGACGTCCGGGGCACATCTTCAGCACGGGGGAGGGAACGGGGGCCGGTAGTTCCCGCCCTCACTGATTTGAAATCAGTGCAATCTGGGCCATCGATCTTCGAGATCGACGATCCAGATGGGGCCCGATTTCAAATCGGTGAAATTGGGCCTACCGGCCCCGTTTTTTTTTTTTCCCGCGGTCCACATGGTCTACGAAGGGGGCAAAAAGGGCCCCAGCGCCAAAAAAAAAAAACAAAAAAAAAACTAACCTACAGTGATGCGCTGGGGGCACAACCGGGCGCGACATCCGGCCAGGCGGCCCGGCACCCCCCCCGGGCGACGGTCAGGCCGCCGGGCGGCCCGAGGACCGGCCTAGGAAAAAAGGTAAAACAGCTTTTGCGCCGAGGTGAACAGGGTGACCCTTGCCTATTTCTCAGGCTGCAATCACCAAAACGTTACCTGTTTCTTTTTTTTTCTTTTTTTTTACTGAAGCATTTCTGTTGTTGACGTAGCACATGGGAGATAGAAAACAAGGGACAGCGCAAAGTGATGAGCAGTGTTTCCTAGTTGCACCATCAGCTCGGAAGTAAGCAAAATCTGTGAGGTGACATCATGTGTGCTAATAGCACCTGACCTGATCTGATCACATCTGACGTCACCAGATGTGTTCTGATCACAGCATATCTGATGTGATCCATTCACACGAGATCTGATGTGATCTCTTCACACCAGAACTGATATGATCTGATCACACCAGATCTGATGTAATCAGGTCTGGTTGTTTGTCTGTTCTACCGTCCGATTGATTGATTGATTGATTGATTGATTGATATTGATAGATGATGCATTGATTGATTGGCTGATTGATTGATGTTGATTGATGGATGGATGACGTAAATGGAACACACAAACAACTGATGACTGTCTCTTCTTGAGTTTTGCATTTTTCTTTTTCTAAACGAATTTGGACCATGTCTCAATTTATGTGTGTCATCCTTGCGCGGGGACCAAGCTAATCTTCATTCTCTGTATCATTCCAATTTGCATTAGTAGTTTGTATGCACCATTTTTGACTTCTTCCCCCCCCCCTCCTTGCATTTCAGCATTTTTGTCTTCTTCACCCGCCCCCTTGCGTTTCAGTATCTTCCTGCGACAGCATAGGAGTCAAATCTGCCAGACAGCATAGGAAGCACACATCGACTTTTGCTGGCCCTTTTTTCTTCACTTCTTGAAAAAACTACGCCATATTCTTCTCTCATATATGTCTCACGCTACCTAATCTCCTATCTGAGATTGGGATAGGGGATTACACCAACCTCCACCCTAATGGCCTAAGCTCTGCTGCAATCCCTAACACCTGGCGCGAGCTAGATTGCAACGGTTGCCTTCTAGCGTAGGAATCGTTGAATGTTACAGTTACGGGTTGACACTGACCTCCACCCTCCACCTGTGCCTAAACACCGCTGCCATCCCTAACACCTGGTGCGAGCTAGAAGGTGACTCCCCAGCTACCTCCTAACCAACCAGGAGAGGCAAGCCAACTATCTCAGCTGGTGAACCTGAAGCATGCCACAGGGGGCCACGGTGAACGATGTGCGAATCGAACCCACGACCTTCTGAATACCGCTTACGTGCTCTACCAACTGAGCTAGGCTGCTGGCCCCACTTTTGCTGGCCCTTTCTGTTGATTATTTCTGTCTGATGTTGCAACTCCAGACTCTCACTTGGAGTTCCCTGAGAAAGATGAGCTAAAAAAGGACAGCATTTCCACAGACATCGCATAAGTATCAGACAGTAGAACTGACTAAGACTGGCATCGTATCGCATACAGATTACGAAAACACAGCAAATGACAGCAGACCAGACTCAATGCGTTGTAAGTGTGAGTCATCATCAGCTCGCGTGTGCTGATTACGTCCCTGCCCTTTCTACACACTCCCCGTTGTGCCAGCCAATTGGATGGTCAGGTGGAGTGTCTAGCTCGCGGTGATCTCAGCGCTTTGCCGATCGGGGTGCTGTGAGAAGTTCATTGAGCTTTATCATTTAGAGGAAGGAGAAGTCGTAACAAGGTGTCCATAGGTGAACCTCCAGAACGACGATCAAGAGCGAGGAGAGGGGGGAAGGGCTGTCTCTTATACACATCTAGATGTGTATAAGAGACAGGTGCTGTTATACTCCGGGGTGTCCATTAGGTGCGTTTCCTGGACGCACACTATACCTGGCCAATTCCTGCCCCCTACCCCTCTCATCAAGTCCCNGGGGGGGAGCGAAGAAAAGCCAGCAGAGCAGACTCAGACTTGGAATTCTCAGGAAAAAAGATCAAAAGACCCAATGAAAATGGGCCATCAGATTGCATATCGCCCACATCAGGCCATTTTTTTCTTTTGCAACTTCTCCGGCCTTCTTGAGGCCTCATACCAGCTTCGGGCGTTCAGCCCGCCCCTCGGGACCCCCCACGGGTGCCCGGCACATCTTTCACGCTGCACCGGGCCCGCACCAAACATTCGAACAGGCGCCCGTACATGTGTGCCCCATATGAACCGCAGCAACGTGCGAAAGTGACCCGGACGTCCAGGCTGGCTCTGCCTAGATTTATAAAATTCATTTGTAAACGAAATCACATCAGCCGCTGTAGACGGCCTCTCGAAAGAAAAACCGGAGGCGCTCATCGGATACAACAGAACACGACTCCAGTTGACTGCATGTGCCGGGGTTTGAACAGTTGACCAGTGGATTAAAACATTCCACTTCTGTGCACCATGTTCTTTTTTTTTTTTTGCAGAAAAAAAAGGGAAACAGCCCTGAAGTATCATCATCGAATTGATTGACAAGCCGTGGGTAATTCAGAAGAATCAGAACTATTATTATTATTTTATTTTTTTTCTTAACTTGGAACGACAACTTAAGGAGGTTTACTTCTGCAAGCAAGTTCAGGACCATCTATCTGGTAGTGGGGAGAAAGAAGCCTAAGTGTTTGAAAAGACTCTGAATTCACTTGTGAATGTAAGATCTAAGAAGAGCAGAGAGAGAGGCACATGAAACTGGTACCCCCTCTTGCTTCGGCCTCTCACGGTGAGCGCAACACAGAATAAAGTGTATTGATGGCGCAAATGGCTTGGTAGAGTATAGCCTTGTCAAGGGCCCAAGGCTAAGGTTGAGGGTTCAAATCCCATTTTTTTCCGCTCATCAGCTTCGCTGCTTGGCCAATGACATGCATTCAAATACAGCAGTTGAGGAAGAGGGAACTTACTCGGATTGCATGACAGTCGACGAAGACAACACTGGAACGGGACGGACAGTCGGGAAGAGTTCTGCCCGGCGCTTGAACTCTGCAATATCCTTAATCAATGCTGTATCACCGGGCTTTTCGCATCCGTCGGCCACCTTCATCGCGTCATCCACCTCCGACATCATTGCATGGCAATTCTTTCCCCAAATTTGCACTGCAAGCTTGCGCCTGCTCGTGGATGCGGCAGAGAGATAGGAGTCGTAACATTGAAGCACATCTTTCATCTTCAATTCATGAAGAGCTTGGGCTTCGAGCTTGCGAGCATTGAAAAGGTACCGGTTGTCCCATATCTGGGCCCAATGCCGATCGCTTTCCTCCTCAAGGTTCGTGTCCTTCTCCAACTTCTGAGAAATGAGCGCTTCCTGATGATTACTGAATTGCTCGTCAGTCATCGTAACAAGATAGTTTCTAAAGTCTTCGATGAACGCATCGATACGCGAGTGCACGTGCCGAGGGTGGTATTCCGCTGACTGAACCCGGAAACAAAGACCCATTACCGTCTGCGTTACTCTGACACTGCATTCCACAGAGTACCCCAGCTGCTCCTTGGTTCTGAGCTGGTCGAAGCTCGGCTCCCAGATTATATGTTCCAGGAGGTCCACAATTGCGCGATCTCGAACCGTCTCCTTCCCCCAGTCCTGCTTCATCTGCAAGTACATTTCGACGACGGAGTTTTCTTCAGCGTCCAACTTCGCACGTGCGTTGATCACATACGAGACGCCATCGGTGAGCTGCACAATTCTTTCGACAGGTCGATGCTCAGGTCGCAATGTTTTTTGCGGTAAACAGGACTGCACCGTCTTCACCAACTCCAAAGCCTCCTCCTCCGTCAAGTTCCCGTGAGCCAGACACTCTGTGAATGTTTGGTCCAGCATGGCTGGAACAAAGCTGGCCAGGTCCTCTGGCGTGCAAGAGAGTAATGCATCGAGTCTCTCCTCCACTGGGAAGCCTCTTTCCCGGAGAACGCGAAGCCTCAGATACGCTGAATGCTTCCACGGTTTCATATTGGCATTGCCGTAATCTCGAACAAGCTCCTCCTTCACAACTTCAAACCTGTCCTTCTGCACTTTGAAATCTCTTAGTTGTTCGAACACCGTCTTCACGAGCAGGCCAAGCTTGTCGTTGAATCCATGAAACTTGAATTCTAAGCGGCTCGCGCTCAACGTTGCATTCCAATCCAGCCTAGCAACGCTCGCCAGGTACACAGTTTCGCTGAGAGCGTCTGCATGGAGCTTGACAAACAGCTCCCCGAGGACCACATTCTTCGCGCTCTGCATGAACACCCCACTGGTAATCGCAAAATACACGCTCGCCCTCGGTGTTTTGAAGACCGTGTCCTTCAGGTAGTGCAACTTCATGCAGTCGTCTTCGTAAATAATTTTCGGGAAACGTTTCACAACTGCATTCGGGGAGCTCGGCGGCGCCGGCTCAGTGAGTTTGTCGGATGTCTCCGGCATGGTTTTCGGGTAAGTCGTCCCTGCTGCATCGTCAACTTCCGCAGGCAACTCCGCCAACGTGACTTTCATGGTTAACTCTGTCGACATGATTTTTGCACATGACCCTGGCGGCATGACTTCTGCAGAGGACTCGGTCAGCACGGCTTCTGGCAACGGTGCTTGCAATGATGTGGCTTTCCCAGATGATTCCAGCGAAGACATGACTTTCGCAGGTGCTGAGTTTGAGGGTGTGAGCACATCACATAGCTGACCCGAATCGCCAACGGGTTCTGCCAGTTTCACAGGCTCAACACGCAGGGTGAAGTCGTGCGGAATGAACAGATTCTGCAGTGGCATGTGGAGTGCAAGGTTCGAACTCGGTGGTTTTGCCCACCGTTCCACAAGCTCTGCATCGATGTCTTTGACCCGATAACGAACTCCGAACCAAGGTTCCACAAGTACACCGGACGACGTGTTGTCGAATGACCGTGTCACTAAGTCCACACGCATATTTTCAGGAGACAGCCAGTTAAACACATCCTCCACGAGCGCCGGGTCCCACTCCTCGACGATATACTCTCCTGAGATGATGTGTTCCTCCGGATAGAGGTGCATGTTCTCCGCAAGACGGCAAGTGTAATCCTCAGGTAGATCTTCCTCCGCAAAGCGGAACTCCATATCCGCCACAGATTTCAGTTCTCGAAAGACCCATTCCTGCGGTCCGACCTCCTTTGCCATATGGATGTATTCGTAAACCAGCCCGATAACATCCATGACCTTTTCGAGTCCGAGCACTGTGAGCCGAATGCTTATACTAAACAGATACATTGCGGAGTTGCGTTCGAAACCACTGTCCCCAATTCCCGCCGTTAAGCTCTGTGCCAGCCCCTTGGCCTTGAGGAGAGAGAGAATGCTCCCAGCTCCCTCATGGCCGATAAGATGTGACACGTAGTCGTAAGGCTTTTTGCGGTAGACTGAATCAAGGCAAGGGAGAGGCCACTGCAGGCTTAGCTGGTGCTGATCTTTGACCGACTGCACGATGTACATCTTCCCCTTCTCCCACAGTCTTCCTTCTCGCGCAAAGTTCAGCCTCTCTGTACCCCCCGGTCGTACACCAACAAACAATTCCTTAACTGTCTTCTCCATACCATCAAGAGGTTCTGCCCCTAAAACAACCAGCTTCATCCTTCCTGCCCTGTAATGCTCCTTGTAGAGGTTAATTAGCTTCCCCCTTATGCCTTTTCCTTTCACAAGCGGCTCACCCAAACTCTTTCTGTTGCCCCAGCTGAACTTGTGTAGTTCATACGCTGAGTTGGCAGTATGACACTGAAGCTGCTGCAATCGGCACCGGTCATTCTGGACGGACTGATTGAACTCTGAGTCGACAGACTGCACTTCTCGTTCCATAGCTTCGTCTTTGGCCAGTGGAGCAACAAAGAATTGCGCAAATCTGTCGAGCGCCGGGGTCAGGAACTTGTGATTAACTTCGAAATGGAAGCACGTATGCTCTGCATCGGTGTAGGCATTCGAGCTGCCACCGTGTGCAGACAGAAACGAATCGTAATCGTTCTCATTAGGGAACTTCTCACTCCCCATGAAAAGCATATGCTCTAGGAAATGTGCGAGACCCTGCGCATCTAAAGGGTCCGAAAAGCTCCCAACTCCAACGCACATAGCAGCCGCTGCTTTCTTCGCCCCGCCTTTGGGCATGTCACGTCGAGGTCCGTCGCTCTCATCTTCGGACGACCCGTCGTCGTCCTCCTCATCGCTTTCGTTTCCACACAGTTTGCATCCTTCACAATGGTCACCGCAGCCATCCTCGCCCTCGTCACCCTTATCCCCTGGAACTCCATTCACCAAAACGGCGGTCGTCCGCTCTTCGTCAGCTGTCTCCCACCCACTATCTTCATCGTCGTCGCCGTCCCCATCCTCGTCATCATCCTCATCCTCATCGTCTTCATCATAGCTATCATCTTCTTCCTCGCTGTCTGAGGCACAGCCCCGACCAGGACCTGCTCGACGCCTAGACCTTCGCACTGCACCCCCTTTGTCATCGCAACTACCATCAACACTGTCACCGCCTTCTCCCTGCGATGCAGCAATCTCCGGATCGTGGATCAGTAGCGCACAGAGACCGTTTTCCAAAGTGATAGCCCGATAAAGCCGCTTGTCCCCTGTAGACTTTATGACCTCTACCTGTTGCTTCCCAGCAGACGACGTATTTTCCTCCGAGCACTCCACGCCAGTTCCTGTCATATCCGAGCTCGGCTCCGCCATCACCCTAGAGGAGGCGATGCAGCATACAATCAAGAAGTTGCCAGATTATTATTTTATTCATCTGGCTCCATCAGGAGTTGAACTCCGATCTCTTTATCAGCAGTCGCATTAATTAATTAATTAATTAATTAATTAACTATTATTTTTATTTTTTTATTTTTTTACTTATTTACTTATTTACTAGGCTACCAGCCGGGCAGCCCGGGTCACCTTGTTTTCCTGGCAGCCCGGCCGTGCATGGACAAGGTACCAGCAAAAAAAAAAAAAAAAACGCAAAAAAACTATGTTATGCACAAAATTATTGAAAAATAAACTGAACCACCTTTTTTTTTTTTTTTTTTAACAAGGTGGTGTTCTTTGCATTATAAAACCGGGAAACGGCCTGGCGTCCCTCACATGAATGCCGTAGCCAAAGCGGGCTGGGAGAGGCACTTCTGGCCAGTCCCATCCCCAACCCCAGACCTCCCACAATGAAGACACCGGTCTTCAGCCCGTCCTGTGCGAGTCCCTAGTTGAAAAAAACCAAAAAGTTATGAAATTAGTAAAATTACCCTAACCCACCATAACGTGAAATTTAATCCTATTCTAATGTCGAATTTTATATCCATTAACTCTATATTGTCTATGCACAGAAACAGTCACACAATGTCCTCACCCTCACCCGTCCCAATTACCGCAATCGTCCAGAACAGTAATGGTGAATTAACCCCAAAATAGTATCAAGTTTCATATCAATCAACCCTAATTTATCTATGGAGCAAGAACTGTAATCATCCCTAGTATCAATAAGGGGATAACCCTAATATAGTGTCAAGTTTTATATCTGCTAACCGCAAATTATCTACAGAGCAAAAACAGTCACACTAATCCAAACCCCATGCCGTAATTTTAGCAGAGCTGAGCAGCAGGCTTCACACAACCAGGCAGAGACCATCCCAAAACGACAGACCTGATGAGGGGGCAGCATCAGGCCCATCATTCCAGGTGATCCCCGCCACATCCTCTAATGTCCTACAGGCAGTGTCGAATTATATATCTGTTAACCGCAAATTATCTACAGAGCAAAAAGCAGCCACACTATGTGAAACCCCATGCCCTAAAATTAGCAGAGCTTAGCAGCAGGCTTCACAGAACCAGGTAGAGACCATCCCAAAACGACAGACCTGAAGAGGGGGCAGCATCAGGCCCATCATTCTAGGTGATCCCCACCACGTCCTCTATTGTCCTACAGGCAGAAAGCGCCATCCAGCAAAAAGGAGGTGAAAGAAAAGCAACACCAACAACCTCACTGATTAACCACGATAATCAGTCAGAATTTTGAAAAAGGCACGTGTAAAACCATCCAATTGATAATCCAACCCCAGGATCATCTGTCTCGTCAGCACCAAAAAGCACAAGGCCAACCTCTGCGGCAAACCCTACTAGTATCCACTTGCGCCCCAGATGACACGTGTCTTCTTCTTATTCAATAATGATGTTCATAATGACACACATCTTCCTTTTCTTCTTCTTCGATGATGATGATGACGATGATAATGATGATGATGATGACGACACACGTCTTCCTCTTCTTCTTCGATAATGATGACGATGATGTTGACACGCGTCTTCCTCTTCGTCTTCGATGATAATGATGACGATGACGTTGACACGTGTCTTCTTCCGTAACAAGATGTATGAGCTGAACAATACTGCAAAGAACAACACGGAAGCTCTCCCCGTAGACGAGTCGACGTTACCGTGGATAGAAGGCAAAGGCAGAAGGTTCCCGCCACACAGCAGATCACTCCCAGTGCACTATTATTCCACGCTGTCAGCAGTGCTCATACGAGCTATGGAGAAACACCCAGGTCACATTCAGCAGACAGAGGGCCGAAAGTGGTAACTCCTCTACTGAAAGCGAGGGGCTCTCCTCACCGAGGGCTCCATATCTGAGACCAGGGAGCAAGCCCTGACCAGTTGACTTCCAACAATTGAACAGCACTTTCAGCCTTCTTCAGTTCGTCCTCGGCTGCTTGCAGATCGAACTGGCTGCGTACATGCTGTTCAGCATCGGGGCCAGCTTCGTGCATTTCTTGGAGCAATGTGCGAAGAAGGTTCAGCACTAGCTGCCGTATTTCTTCAATTTGGCCACGGGTTCTCAGCACTACCTCTTCTTCATCGGCAAAGAGAGTAAAGGAGGTGGGGTAGGAGAGATGAGGGATAAAACGGGTCAGAATGGACGCGCGCAGACAGTTCCACACAAAGCCATCCTAATGAGTGAGTATGCCGCACAATAAACTCAAAAAGACAACAGCAAATTCCACAGCCTCACTTCAATTTCGAATTTCCACGGCAAAGAAAATAGTAAGAAGATAAGTAGGATTCAGATACTTCTATCTATTCCTAATTCTGTTGTTTGTCTATGTGATGACGTTTCTATCTGAGAGTGTACAAATACGGCAGCGACGGCCAGTGCGATCAAGACAACAACACAAGTGGTGAGTCAGCAAGCATCCACAGAACAGCCCACGACAGGTGAGTAGAGTCAGCCAATTACAACACAAGAGCAATCAGTGTATCAACTGCTCATCATCTCGCTGTCTCGCTGCAGATACCCGAATCCAGGCACAACGGCTGACGCGTGGCACTACGGCGTAACCCAGTGCCGTACCACCCCTCAGCGCACACAAGTGCAAGTGTCTATCCCCACCAATCTTCATGGTAAATGGCAGCGCAAGTCTTCCTTGCCATGTGTCACATCCCACTCTGACCAACACAGCACATCCACAGAGTATGCCACGTCAGCGGCAATGGCCAGCGAGGCCGTCAAAAGGGAAGTCGCGGTAGCCACGTCAACAGTGCACTACTACCAAGTCCGCTTGTCATTGGTATGCCACGTCAGACTGAAGATACAGCTGGAGCCTTGGAAGTGCCACGTTAGCAGGTAAGTCGTGACACAGGTAAGTGTCACGTCAGACAATACCTTGCTGGTCCTCTGGATGCCACGTCAGCACCCACATGCCATGCCACATAGGCAGCACTCTCAATGCCATGTCAGCAGTTCTCTCACTCTCTCCCTCTCTCTCTCTGGTCGACCGTCCAGCGCCACATCAGCGCCTCTGCTAACGGTTCTCCCGCTGGTCACCGTCTCCATTTCAGCAACACTGTGCCATGTCAGCAATGTCGCCGGTCCACATCATCATCAATCACCATGTAAGTGCGCACGCACGTCTGGACGTCAATGTCTAGACTAGTGATGACAATCACGCGCATTTATAAACGTGAAATGAGAGACGTGCGTCCACTCCCTTACTTACCATATCACATCACGGCGCACATCAGCAGATCGCGACAAAGGAGGTATTGCTCTGACACCAAATTGTAATAAACCTAGTCTGGAGAGAAACTCGTCAATGTCGAAGTACAAGATGTCTCAACGCAAGTCAATGTCTCCAATAATCATGAGAGTGATCCCAAGTGCAATGTCTCGTAACCAAAGGACGAAGCTAATAGGGGGGAGATAAGACTTAGAGGGTGGAAGAGAAAGTATCCATCAATTGCATCGAAGATAGATCTCCTTCACGTCCCACTCCTCCTTCGGGCATCTTCCCTCTGTTATGTCAGCATACAGTATCCCAAAGACGAGCTTGGCGAGAACCGATCACAACATAGTGTCACATAGGCACAGATCTCCCATGAAGACGTCACAGCAGTGCACAATATCGACAACAATAATCAGGTAAGCTTCTCTCTCTCTCTTACGACCAATCTCACAGCCCTGATGTTGCATACTAGTGAATACTTCACCAAGTATGGGCAGAACCAAAGATCAACCAATATAGGATGAGCATGTATACAGCCGAAGTCTGAGAAATGGACTGACTCACATGGACTGAACTCACCCAAACATCACTCAACACACAAGCAATCGTGAGATGGAGGGGGTCTGAAGACCATACATAGACGATGCTTCAGGCCCCGTACAATCATACACAGATGAATGGTGGGAGGAGAGACGATGGAGGTGGGAGGTATAGGCAGCGGCAGATGTCACCGAGATAGAATCCAGAAGGTCACTGAGATGGTTGTCCAAAATGTCACCGAACAAAATCAGCATGTCGTGGACATAAGTCACCAATGTCGGAGGTACAGAATCCTAATGTAACCGGTGTCAGATCTGTGATGCCGCCTGGTATCAATCCCAACTATCTCCAATGTCTCGAATCCGGTAAGTATCACAGCCTCCTACCACCGAAGTCCAATCACTGATCTCTGTCCAACTCGTATGAAGTCTCCAGTCTGAAGAAAAAGAAGAAGAAGTCTGAGGGAGAAGAAGGAGAAGTCTGAAGAAGAAGAAGAAGAAGAAGAAGAGACGGGCAGAGCATGGGCAGAGATGGCGAGTAGCACCAGGCCCTACCTGATGGGACAAGGTGGCGCCTTGGCTGCTGCGGGAGACGGCTGTGCTGCTGGGAGCTATGGCGCTCGTGGCTGCTGTTAGGTAAGTCTCCCTACTCGCTCTGCCTCACTGCAGTGCGCTAAACTTAGCGCTGCAGTTCCCAGCGCTGCACTGAACCCAGAACAGCGCAGCGCGGTCGCTCCTCAATGCCACTGCTCCAAGATGCAAGAAAGGTTGCTGGACCGGCCCAAGTACCGTCCGGCGGCCAGTCGGCCTCAATGCTGCCCGGCACGCCGTGATCTGGATTGTCAAGATTGACGATTCAGATCAGACCCGCGAGCCCAACGGTAATGTCGTTTGGGCCTAGACCTGGTCTGCTGCAGGAAACCAACTGGTGGCCTCAATGCGGCCTACCGGGAGAAGGGTCCGGCTAAGTACCCCTTAGCCTAGTGGTCGGGTCCGAAAGGAACCCGTGTGGCATCAGTATGTAACACCTGATCTCCCTCCTCGTCGATACCCTAATATGAGTTGAATATCTGGTTTATGGGTTTGCATGGGGTGCGAGTGGTGTGTGTGTGTGTGTGTGCACGCGTGTGGGTGTGGACTTGCGAGT